AAAAAAAAAAAAAAAAAAGAATGACCTTAAAAAAAAAAAAAAAAAGTTTGACCTCTTTTCTAATTCACTGTTTTATGTAATAGGACATTAGTATTTCTTGTAGAATTTCCCTCATATAAAACTTGAGACTGACAGTTTCCACAGGATTGTTGTGAGGCTGAACACATGTAATACTCATAAAAATGCTTTGACAAATTAAAAAATATTTTCAAATGCTAATTTCCTTGACTAAATGTACATTTTATATCAACAGGTTTAAAACCTCAAAAAGGCTTTTGGACTCACTGGAAACTAGAAGAGCTCACCACAACAACCATACATGGTACTAAGAAAGCACCTTCAACATCTATAAAGGACAGGATTGAAAGGAGTCAAACACGTATAATGGCTGGTAAGTAAGTTTATTGTCAACTGCAGGATGAAATAGCCAAAATCAAGTATATTAAGTTATGGATTTACCATAATTTTCTATTAATTAATTCTTTGGAGGGTCTTAAAATAAGATTGGTGTTATAGTAGTTTGAATATTGCTTCACATTTTAGTTTTTCATTATAAAATGGTATGTGCTTAATTATGTCCTCCCATTTGCCTGTTATATTCTTATATTTACCTTCTATCCTACAATCTCATTAGTTCTAGTAGGCTTTTTATAGATTTCTTAGGATTTTCTGCTTGGAAAATCCTGTCATCTGAGAATAAAGAGCATTTTACTTCTTCATTTCCAATCTATATGACTTTTGTTTCTTTTACATGCTTATGACTAGGACCTCTAAGAAAATGTTAACTAAAAGAGGTAAGAGTGGATATCCTTGCCTCATTCCTGACCTTAGAGGGGAAATGTTACATTATTTGCCTTTAAATAGATTTGGGCTGCCAGTTTTTATAGATGCCTTTTGTCAGGTTGAGGTAGTTTCATTCTCTTCTTGGCTTGCTGAGAATTTTTTTTTTAATGCATGGATAGATGTAGGATGCTTTTTAGCATCTATTGAGATGAACCTATTTTTTTTTCTGTTTTAGTCTTTTAATATAGTGAATTACAGGGACTGATATTCAAATGTTAACCCAACCCTGCATCTCTGGGATAAATCCCATTTGACCATTGTGGATTAACTTATTCATCTACTACTGGATTTAATTTGATAAAATTTTGTTTTATTTTCCTGTACTATCCTGTCTCATTTTAGTAATAAGCATTATGTTCCCTCCTCTTCCTTTTTAAGACGAGTTAGTATAAAATTGGTATTTATTCTTCTTCCCATATGTGGGAGAATTCATTAATGAAGCCATCAAGGCCTATAATTTTTTCTGTGGGAAAGTTCTTAACAACAAATTCAGTTTCTCTAATAGATGTAGGGCTATTCTGTTATCAGTTCCTTCTTAAATGAACTTAGTTGTTTTGTGTGAATTTTTATTTTATTCCTTTAAATATTTTTGAGTTTTTTTTCTGGGATGCAATCCAGTTACTTAGAAATATTTTGACCCATTTGAGCCTTGCTTTCAAGCTTCATTAGGTAGAACCAGCAAAGTCTTTTGTCTAGGCCTAACTTGCTTTTCCTGATGAGGCAATACCCTTCTCAGTATTCTACCACTTGCTCTGTATCGAAGGTTTCCCATCTGACTGCCTAGAACATGAGCTTTGTGTGAGCCCCAAGCAGTGTCCTGCCTGCTCCTTCCTGCGGGTGGTTCTTTACCAACTTCAGGCACAGGGTCAAGGATAACCCTCTGAGGATCTTTAGAATGCTCTCTGTGTGCATCTGTCTCCTCATTATGCTGACCTATGAACTGTAGCTTGCCATCACCTTCCTGAATGCTAAATTTTACTTTCTCAACTCAGTGAGACTAGTGGATTCTGTTTGGATTCCCATTCCTTGCACTGCGGGGAGGAGACAATTGAAAGGCTCCTACATTTGTTTCTCTTTTCTTAGGGATTACTGACCTGTGCTGTCTATTGTCTAACACATAAAAACCATTTTTTCATATATTTTGTCCAAATTTTTAGTTGTTTAAGAAAGAAGAGTAAATCCAGTCCTTGTTACTCCATAATAGCTAGAAGTGGAGGCAATTATATATATTTTTAAAAGATTAAGAGAAGACTTAAAATAGTCTCCTGTATTTATCCATATATTTATCCTTCCTAGCACTTCATTCCTTACTATAAATTTGAGTTCCTTGTGGTGTTATTTCCCTTCAGTCTGAGAAACTGCCTTTTGGCAGTTCTCATAGTTCAGTTTTTCTAGCAATGAATTTCCTTGTTTACTTATCTAAAAATAGTGTTCATTTTGCCTCTATTTTTGAAGGATATTTTTGCTGGGTATAGAATTCTGGGTTCATTTTTCTTTTGCCTTTTAGCAAGATATTGTTCCATTGTGTTCTGGTTTCTATTATTTATAATGAAAAGTCAGACATTATTCTTATTATTATTTCACCATGTCTAGGGTCAGAAACTTCTGTGAAGGGCCAAAGAGTCAATATTTTAGGTTTTGTTAGATACATATCATCTATTTTTCTTTACAACTCTTTAAAAATATAAGACCCTTCTTAGGTTCCAAGTGATATGAAAAATAGGCCATGGACTGGATTGGACCTCCAGGCTGTAGTTTGTTGATTCCTACTCTATTCAATGTGCCTTTTTTCTTCTAGCTACTGTTAAGATTTTTCTCTTTGTTCTTGGTGTTCAGAAATTTGTCCATGATGTGCTGACATACTTTTCTTTGTCTTCATTCTACTTGGCCTCATTAATTTTCTTAAACCTGTGATTTGATGTTTTTCACCATTTTTTTGCCATTATATTTCAAATAAATTCTGTTCTATTTCTCTTCTCTGGGACTCCAACTTAGCATGTATTATATTACTTGTTGTCCATGGTTCACTGGAACTTTGTCAGTTTTTTTTCAATTTTTTTTTGTCTAAGTTTTATAGATTTCATATTTCCATTTATTTCATTTTAAGTTCACTGACTCTTCTATGGACTATGATCTACTCTTAATCTCAATAAATGAATATTTCATTTCATATATTGTACCTTTCAGTTAAGAATTCCCATTTGGTCCTTTTTTTTCTCTCTCAATTCATACTCCTTTATTTCATTTTATTTTTTTTTAATTTCAGTATAGTTAATATACAGTGTTCTATTAGTATTGGCATACAATGTTGTGATTCAACAATGTTGTACATTACTCAGTGTTTTTTAGTAGTTTCTATTTCTATTCTGAGATTCTCTTCCTTCATTATGGCTGTATTATCTTAAGTCCTCAAATATATTTAAAATAGTTGCTTTTAAGCTCTTGTCTGGTAATACCAACATTTGGATAACTATGAAATTGATTTCTATGACTATCTTTTTCTTGACTGAATCACAATTTCTTGTCTCTTTTCATGTTTTTATGTAATCTTGGGATTTGAATGAAAGTTTGAGAATATTCTGAATTCTGTTAACTTCCACTAAACAATGTTAATTTGTGTTCAAGTAAGTTACTTTGGCTGTTTCAAAGTCCAAATGTTATGTGTTCTGTGATGGTCAGACACTAAAATCTCCACTTAGAACTTTTAGCCATCCATCTATTCCTTTCCACCCATCCCTCTAGAGCTCCCTCTTCCCACCTTATACATGAGTAATTCAGACACCAGACAAGGGTTTGGAGAGAGTTTATAATATTCAGATTCTGGGTTTCCCCCTCTGCAGCCCCTTTCTTTTTTTTTTTTTCCCCATGTTCTCCAAATTTTTTTATTATGTTAATCACCATACATTACATCATTAGTTTTTGATGTAGTGTTCCATGATTCATTGTTTGCGTATAACACCCACTGCTCCATTCAATACGTGCCCTCTTTAATACCCACCACCAGGCTAACCCATCTCCCCACCCCCCTCCCCTCTAGAACCCTCAGTTTGTTTCTCAGAGTCCATAGTCTCTCATGGTTCATCTCCCCCCTCCAATTTTCCCCCCCCTTCATTTTTCCCTTCCTTCTCCTAATGTCCTCCATGCTATTCCTTATGTTCCACAAATAAGTGAAACCATATGATAATTGACTTTCTCTGCTTGACTTATTTCACTGAGCATAATCTCCTCCAGTCCCATCCATGTTGATGTAAAAGTTGGGTATTCATCCTTTCTGATGGCTGAGTAATAGTCCATTGTATATATGGACCACCTTTTCTTTATCCATTTGTCTGTTGAAGGTCATCTTGGCTCTTTCCAGTTTGGCTATTGGGGACATTGCTGCTATGAACATTGGGGTGCATATGGCCTTTCTTTTCACTACATCTGTGTCGTTGGGGTAAATACCCAGGGGTGCAATTGCTGGGTCATAGGTAGCTCTATTTCTAATTTTTTGAGGCACCTCCACACTGTTTTCCAAAGTGGCTGTACCAACTCTCATTCCCACCAACAGTGTAAGAGGGTTTCCCTTTCTCCACAACCTCTCCAACATTTGTTATAAAAGTTATAAATTCTTGAAAATATTTTTTAAAAACACAACCCTTTGGAGGTACCAGAGAATGACCAAGAGCAGGTAGAAATTGGAGGGGAGCTGAGCCTTATAAGAGGGAGCCTCTAGTGGATGCAATTTGTGTTCAGGTAGTTGCAACTTTTTGGCTGATGGTACTAGTTAGTCATCATAGCATGTAAGTGAATGGAATTCAAACATAAAGTAGAAATATTAAGTAAAGCTTCCCATTGGTTTCCCAACTGAACGTCTCATTTCAGTGCAACTTGTGCTTTTCTTTATTTCCCCATTTTTAAATTTATTTAAATTTTAGTTAACATATAGAGCAATATTGATTTCTGGACTAGAATTCAGTGATTCATTATTTACATAAAACACCCAGTGCTCATCACAACAAGTGCCCTCTTTAATACCTATCACCCATCTAGCCATCCCCCACCCACCTCCCTCCATCAATCTTCAGATTGTTCTCTATCATTAAGAGTCTCTTATGGTTTGTTTTCCTCTCTCCTTTCTTTTTTCCCCCTTCCCATATGTAATCCATTTTCTTTCTTAAATTCTACATATAAGTGAGATCATATGGTATTTGTCTTTCTCTAACTGACTTATTTTACTTAGCATAATACACTCTACCTTCATCCACATCGTTGCAAATGGCAAGATTTCCTTCTTTTTGATGGCTGAGTAATATTCCATTATATATATATATATATACACACACACATATATATATATACACACACACACATATATATATAGGCCATATATATATTCCACATCTTCTTTATCCATTCATCAGTTGACAGACATTTGGGCTCTCTCCATAGTTTGGCTATTGTTGATAATGCTGCTATAAACATCAGGGTGCATGTACCCCTTCAAACCTTCAAATTTATATTTTTGTATTCTTTGGATAAATACCTAGTAATGTAACTGCTGGATCA